CCAAGAGTGTAACTGTGGTTCATTTTGCAAAGTGTGTTTTGAGTTTCTAAAGAAACTAACAAACTATATTCCAGAACAGCTGTACACTCCTACCAGGAATGTATTAGAGATCTGGCTCATCTGTCTGCTCTCCAGCATTTGGTATAGTGACTACTTTAAAATTGTATTTCTTTTCATAAGTGGGCAGTGATATTCATCATAGTCTTAATTTGCATTTCCCTCACAGCCAGTGTTGTTGAACATCTTAAATATTTATATTATATAGTAAAAAACACCACACAATTTTCTAAATTTTAATTCAACTGTTAAACATCATCTTAATAACTTAGGGAAAAAAATCTGTATTTGTTCATATTTTTACTCTTTTGTTGCCTGTTCTGCCTGCTTCGGTTAAACATTTCTTTTTATTTTACTTACGATTCTTTTAGGGTAGATTTGTTGGCGAAAAATTATCAAAACTTTACTTTCCATGAGAATGTTTTAAGTTTCCCTTCATTCTGGAAGGATATCTTTGCTAGTTTTAGAGTATTCGGTTGTCAGTTCTTTGCTTTCAACACTTGAAAAATAGTGTGCCATTTTCTTCTGGCCTCTGTGGTTTCTGGTGAGAACTTTGCTTCCATTCTAATTGTTTTTCCCTATGTCATTGTTCCCCTAAAGTTTCTCCCACAGCTTTCAAGATTTTAAGTTTGTCTTTAGTTGAAGAAGTTTAGCTATGATCTGTCTTTGCCTTGATTTCTTTGGCTTTATCTGTTTGGGGGTTTTCTAAGTTTCTTGTATCTGTAGGTTTATGTCTTTTGCAAAGTTTAGCACATTTTCAGACATTATTTCTTTGGATACCTTCACAGACTCTCTTCTTTTGGGACAATGGTGAAATGAAGATTAAATCTTTCATAATAGTCCTACAGGGTCTTAATGTTCTATTTTTTTTTTTAAGTCTATTTTCATGCTTTTGTTCAGACTGGGTTTTTTTCTACTTTTCTACTTTCAGCTTCACTGATTCTTTCCTCTGCCTTCTCCTTTCTACTGTTGAGTCCCTCTATTGAGTTTCCTTTATCTAGCTTTTGATATTTTTTCATTCTAAAATTTTCATTTCATTTTTCTTTATAGCTTCCATCTCTTTGCTGAGACATTGTGTTTTTTACTGAGTTCTATAATTCTGTTATTGGATTTCCCACCTCTCCAGTTTACATTTATTCTTCTTCATTTTCCCTACCTTTATTGCTGGGATTTTCTGTTTCTTTCCTGAGACATTTTATTTTTTTCATTTGTTTCATGTGTGTCCATAATTACTCATGAGAACACTTACATGCTTTAAAAATCCTTGTCAGATAATTCTAACAGCTGTATCATCTTGGTGTTGGCATGTCTTGATTATCCTGATTCTTGGTATGATGAGTGATTTTCTGTTGAAACTTGGATATTTTGAGTATTACTCTATGAGGCTATGGATCTTATTTAAAACTTCTGTTTGAGCTGATCTTCTCTGACACCATTCAGACAACAGAAAAAGGGAGCTTGTTACTGTCAGATGTTGGGTGGAAGTCTAGGTTCCCCACTAGGCCTCCAGGGGCACCCAGTGTGGGGAGGGGCCCCTTGCTACTGCTGGGCCATGGTGGGAATTCCAGCTCCCCACTAGGCCTTTGCTGATCCCACTCTGGCCAGAAGCAGCAGGAGTTCCTCCTCAATGCCCTCCAATGGTAGGGGACAGTCTTGTTACCAACAATTGCGTGTAGAGGTCCAGGTTCCCCACACAACCTCTACTGATATTGAAAGAGAGGAAGCCACATTATTACCCAGTGGGGATAAAAGTCTTGGCTCCCACCCCGCCTTCTCTCCCTGCTCCTCCTCCTCAGCATGAGGGAGATGGGGGTTTGGGGCATGTTCTAACAGTCTGGTGAGAGTAGAAGCCTAGGCCCCCTGCTTTTGTCGGTGGGGATGGGGGTGGGACTACTGGTTATTCTGTAGTGTTTGCCTGGAGTAGAACAAACTTTTCTTTCTTGATAAGCTGCCCCCTTCCTCATCGTGTGGCTAGAGGAAACAAGCTCTTGTTGGGGCTTTTAATCATCTGCACCTATTGACATTTCCAGCTCTCAGCTGTTCTAGCTCCAAGTCTAGAGTACATGAGGTCTGAAGGAAACCCAGACAGATCATTGCCAATTCCACCTGCTAGTCCTGAGGCCCTGATATGGTCTGCCTTTTTCTCTCCCCACTCCATCCACCTTACAGTGTCTTCTTATTTTTTTAATATATAATATTTTAATCTATAATATTGAAGGAAATTAGGAAGAGGAAAAGGTAGAAATACTTCTTCATCTTTTCAGAAGTGAAAGTCCTTGAATATATATCTTAATTCCTTAATTATTAGAATGCTTACATTGCATTTGGGCAAATGAGTGAGAGATAAAATTAAATGATTTAAGACTCCTAAATTTATATATATGTTTATAATATGTTACATAATATATCATATGTAATAATTATTATATATTCTATTTGTGGAATCTATTATATTTATTTTATTATATATATCAAATGTATATTATTATATATAAACATATTACATGTGTTTTATATAAATGACAAAGAAAACCATATTTGTTATAAATCACTAAAATTCACAGACACAATAATTGTGGTATAATCCATATATAAAAATCTTTAAAAAATAAATAAAAAAGTAATTCCACAAAAGATGTTTCAAATATGGGTTATTCTATATATACCCCTGTTATATGTTCAATTCAAGAACTCTTTATTGCATATCTAGTATGATCTCATTACATTCTAGGTGTTCTATAGTATAAAATAAACATAAATCTGACAGAGGCATGGGTCTTATTGACAATAAGACTATAACCATGTTAATGATAAAAATAAATTAATTTGTAAAGGCTCATATTTAGAAAATGGAAATTTCATTAAGAGATGGAGTTATCAAAATAGTCATTTCGTAGAAATTAAAATGAGCTTTTAAAAAATGCTGCATTTGGTTGTACATTGAGGGGTTGGCAGACCATTTTATGAAATTGTGAAGGCTTGGGAAAACATTACGTCTGGTATGTCTAAATGATCACAACAAGTACAACTTGACAACTTGATGAGCAGGAGAACTGCAAGTTCATGAGTGACTAGAGCCAACTGTGCAGGATGTAAGGCAGGACCTTACTTAAGCAAGATTGGCCTTGTTGTTCCTACACTGTTCCTACAGTGGACACTGTAGGAAAGCCCTGTTCATCAATACTCACATTGCACTAATAGGCAAGGGAGCAGCATTGCGAGTTCTACAGTTTGAAAGTGGCATAATAAAAATGATGTTTTAGATAAATTATTAGTGGTGCCAATTTGGCTGGTTTTGCAGTAGTTATTGCGGTAACCCAGGTGTGAAGCAACAAATCTACATGCATGCTCTCCTTCCACACCATGTTTCACTATGTTCTTCAGAATTGACAGCAGAGAAATGGAATTAAAATGTGGTGATTGTCTTTATTTCACAGAATACTCTGCTAGACAACATCCATGTGTTTTCTCATTTAGTATTCAATGCAACTATTGAGGTATTATTATTGACATTCTATGAGATTAAGCAGTTTTTCCAAAGTCCCACAGCCAATATTTAAACACAGGCTCTTGACATTGCATGACACTGACACCTCCATACCTAGCATGATGGCAGGTGAGGCACAGGCTCCCAGGGTTCTTGATGACTTGAGCCTGTGTTGCAGCTGGGGCAGCTCTTGCCTTCCTTTACTCAGCTACTTTATTACCCACAAGTCAGCCTGTAAAATATGATAACAATTTAATGTTGTGGTGCTGTAGAAACAAGTTTCATATCTCTTCCCCTTCCTCTCCATTCAGGCAATGTCCCACCAGACCTTCAGTTCCGGGTACCGCAGCCTGGAGAGCACAGAACCAGCTCACATCAGTCAGCAGACAATTAAGACACTGGTCTTTGATTCATTTCCCGAGCTAACATGTAACCATGCCGCTGATTACCCATTTTCATTGTTTATGGCGAGGCAGGTGGATGAACAGCTCTGCCTGATTTATGAAGTGCTTGCCTTCTATAAATCACGGAGTAGAAACCCAGCACGCTGCTAATCCTAATTGGTTAAGTCCTAAGTAGGGAGTGATTAGAAAGTCTTCAGGAACGAAGGTGCCTCATGCAAATGAGGGAGACATACAGCTCCTTGGGAGGAAACTCCCCCTGCTCACAATATGCAGTAAAGTTTTTGTTATTGTTCATTTCTACTGTCCTCTTCTGTCTCTTGCTGGTCAACCCCTGTTGATCTTCCATTTGTTAATAAACTGGAGAGAGGGCATAAGTGAGAAAGCACAAACACTGTAGAAGCAGAGTGCTGTTTGCCCACTTACTCTCTCATGTGTTAATTTCAACCTGGATTAATTTTCCAGCTCCTATAAATCATTCATCATGATGAAGGAGAATCATGCAATATGACTCATAGTGCTGTTTATTGGAGTGGGAAACATGAGGGCTTTGAGTTCTGTCTACCTGCATTCCAATCCCACTCTTTCTTGGAAGAAAATGACATGGCATTCTCAGACACTCAAGGATGGCCTTCTCTGATTGTTCACTTAAAGCCTAAACTACTTTGAAAAATTCTAAATATGTGAGGCTGTGCACATCTTCTGATTGGAAATAGGGCTAAGAAATGCAGACTCTGCTGGCAAAGGAAGAAAGAAGCCTGCAAATTGTATACAACTTTCCCCCCAGCCTCAAGGTTGAGGACACAGGGGAGTGTGCATATGACACATTTAAAGGAGCAGTGACCTGAGATTAAAACTCAGAGCAGGAAACTTCCACTCTCCACTCTCCTGTTCCAACCAATTGAATGTGTTCCCTTTTTTGGCTAAATTCTCTTTTCATTTCTCTCTCCTCTTCCCCATCTTCCTCCTTCTATTTCCCTTTCCCTTTGTACATTTTCCCTGTCTACCTTCCTCTTCTTCCTTTCTTCTCCATATTTCCTGGGACCCAATGGCAGGTGCAGCAGCAGCAGTGGCAGCGCCCCTTCGGAACTGGAGGATGAACCTGCCTGCATGGAGGAGATTGATTACAGTACAGACAGCAGCTCAGACCAGGAAGGGAGCTTGTCCGAGCTGGACCGGAGGATCCAGGAGTGCGCCTCGAATAAGGATGAGGGAGAGGAAGAAGAGGAGACACCAGGGCAGGAAGGAGAAGCCATCCCATAGGCCCGAGGTTCACAGCAAGTTCTGTGTCTCCAACCATTGGATTGGACTAGCAGCTATGCTACTGCTGCTTCATCATCAGACACACAGAGTGTATATGTCAGAGAAAAAAGCCAGCCTATGTGAGCTCAGCAACCCCATTTCCAGATTTTTAGTTTCCATATGCATAGAAGCTAGCCACTTTATAACATTTTATATGTAGAGTTAGGTCCCCTGAGGCCTATGCAAGCTGCCATTGTACTTAGAATGGGACTCATGGGTAGCCTCAAGATTACCATGGATCCTTTCAAGATTGTTCTGAGTTATTCTCCATTCCTGTGCTTGACTGGAGCAAGCTGGAAGTAGAAGAGTTGGGCTTCTTCTTGGCTTCTCAGTCAGAATTCTAAGTGGTTATTTAAGTTGTTCCATATATGAGTATTATCTTCCACTGTTATCTCCCCACCATAGCATTTGAGCTCCCCAGAACAAACCACTGAGACTCTGGGGATCTTGGCAGGGTTTTCAGGTGCTGGGTGCTCGAACATGAAAAACTGTGCATCCAAGTAATTGCAGGCTTCATCTGTGATCTTCTCAAGCAGCATATATTTTACATATGTGGTACAGGCCAGAAGCTGCACTAGACTCTAAGAAATAAGACATGGTCACTGATCTTCACAGATTTTAAGATCATATGTACTCAGACCACCAAACATAATGCTAGGAAGTAGCAAGACCTACTGGAAAATTTATCCATTTCAGAATCAGACAGATATGGTTCATATGCTAGATCTGGCAGTTGCTTGTTATGACAACTTAGGCAAGTAATTAAATTTTCCCAAACTTCAGTTTTCTTATATATAAAATGTGGATAAGCATATCTATATCATAAAGTTATTGTAGGATGAAATGAGATAATCTATAAAAGTATAGCTTAGCATTTGGTACACAACAACATCGGCTTATTTTTCTTCATAACACAACAGAACATTCTATGTAAGAATTCTGACAGTTAAAAAAAATTCTCACCAGCCTGGACAACATGGTGAAACCCATCTCTACTAAACCCCATCTCTACAAAAATTAGCCAGGTATGGTGGCACACACCTGTAATCGCAGCTACTTGGGAGGCTAAGACAGGAGAATCGCTTGAACCTGGGAGGTGGAGGTTGCAGTGAGCCGAGATCGCACCACTGCATTCCAGCCTGGGTGACAGAGCAAGACTCTGTCTCAAATAACAACAACAACAACAACAACAAACCCAGAATCCAGAATTCTTTGGAGTCACATGGTAGGAAATATGCCCTCTTACTGGAAGGGAGCTGGGAAGGAGATTACACAGGAGCAGAATCTAGGAGGTTGGACTGACTTAAAACAGATGAAAATGGAGCAAGGCCTTTCAGCATTCAGAAGGAAGTAACTTAGTTATTTGAATAATGAAGTGTACAAGACCTGCGAAGAAAGGATAAGAAGGGATAACAAAGGCAGTGGTAGAGTGAGAGATAGAATATGCTAGGTCAAATTTAGGCTGTTTTAGATGTCATATGTATTTAGTTAGGATTAGGTTTAGCTGCAAGAGATGGACAACGTATCATAGTAGTAGCTTTCATAAGGCATAAGTCTAGTTCTCTTTCCTGTGGAATTTTACACACTGGAAGACCAGTCCTAGTGTCATGTCTGCATGGTGTCAGAGACCTGGCTTCTGCAGTTGTCTGGGTCTACTGTGTGTTGCTTCTACTCTTGGTCTAGAATGGCTGCTGAAGCATCAGTCATTGCATCTGCATCCCAGACAGTAGCAAGAAGAACACAAAAAGAAACGCCTGTTTTCTATCTTTCCAAAAGCAATATATAATATTTCTTCTTAATCCCATCAGCTGGAAAAAAAATGGGCCTATAACCATAGGTAGCTGCAAGAGAGTTTAGAAAACATAGTCTTTATTTGAGGTGGGCCCAGCTAAAATTTGAAGTTTGAAGTAAAAGTCTGAATACTAAGGGAAAAGATGATAATACCTATTGGGGGATTACATATCTGCCAAAAGACTTCTCCTGATGTTCCAAATACCACCAAGGGAGTTTTGGATATATTAGAATAATCTCAGATGAAACTTATAGCACACACCTCCTGACCAGCAGAAAGCCACAGAACAAAACTAGATTAACTCCAAGGAATAGAAGAAAGGCATCTGTGTCATGATTTTGGGAGTTGACAGTGTTATTAATAGTCTCTTATTTTTTTTTAACTCTTTTCCAAATTTCCGTGCTGTAGTTCAGAAATTGTACGTCTATTCTTCATATTAAGACATGTATGTTTCTGTAACATATGTAAGAAATTTGAAGAATATCAGCAAAGACACTGAAAGTGAAACCCAAACACTATATATCTCTTAACTCCTCCCATATTTAATCTTTCCACTCTTAAATAAAGGCTAGCATAATAGTGCTGATTTTTCTTTGCTTTGAGGATTCAAGAAGATAATATTGAAATGTAATTGCTGAGAGAGGTGGGAATGATGCTAGCTTATTAATTATTATTTCAGCCCAAATTAATTTTGGGGGTTAGCTTCTGGTCATCCAGCATGTTTCTGAAAAAATGTGACTGTGACAGATAAGTTTTTGTGTGGCATGTTCAGAAAAAGTCAGGAACATGAAGTATTTGTTGATCCATCTATGTAACAAATGTATATTTAACCACCAACTATGGATCATGCACTTAACTAAACTCTATGGATGCAGATAAGAAAGACCCATTTTGTGCCCTCAGTAACCAGGGAAAGAAGAACAATAAACATTCTAATTTAATGCAGTGTGGCCCATGCCATTATGGAACTATGCAAAGAATATTACAAAAACACCTAATCTAATGGGGGTGGCAGTTGCGGTAAAAGTCTACCAAAAGAAGGTCATAATTTGGGTGATTCTTGAAGAATATGCAGGAGTTTTCAGGTACAGAGGGAGAAAAGACATGCGAAGGAGTGGAAAGATTTTGTGCAAAGGCTCTGTGGTAGAGTTAGAGCTTGAAATAAAATGTTCAGTGTGACTGGTTTAAAAGATGTATTTGTATGTGAGAAAAGGAGGAGAGTGACAAGAGATGAAACGGAAAAAGACAGCAGTCAGATAAAGCAGCATTTGGCATTCCTTGATGAAGAGGCTGAACTTAATTCTGAATGTAACAGGGGAGACTTAAAGAGCTTTCAGCAGAGGCATGCCAGTGACTGATATCAGCATGTCTGTACCAGCACCACTGCTCCCTTGTTTATGGCTGAGGGTTTGGTGCTCCCACTATGCTGGTTGTTCAGTAGTTTGAGGAGTGCCCCAGGTGTGAAATTACTATATTTGAAGAGCAGAAGGTTTGCATTCAGGTGAAAGATAATAATTGCAGTTTGGGGACATGTTGAATGTTGGTGGCCTACATGATAGCCAGTTTGGAAGGTTTCCTAGAAATCAGAGGTACATCAGGAAGCAGAAGGAGAACAAGGAGAGGTGTACCTAACACCTAGTGATGTTGGGGACCCAGGTGAAGGTCCTGAGCACCTAAGCCCAGGTGCCAGTGAGTTGGGAAGGCAATTGACTGGAGGGAAGAGGGGACTTGGGAGCAGACCTCTCTCCCTTCCTGCTAGGACTGAAGGCTGTTCTGTGTCACATCTCACCAGTCTTCCATCCAGAGTTAGAGAGTACTTACTTGAGAGTTAACTCTCAATAGTTATAAGAGCCATTCCTCCAGTCAAGCCAGGACTTTTTCTTGCTGGCTGGACCACTTCAGTGAATTGTTCGGAAAAAAACGTGTTCTACCAAACTCAGAGCCAAACTAAGATGACCCAAGAATTCCAAGGAGTTGTAGGCCATAATGCGAAGCAAATGTGGTCCAAAATGTGCAGAGGAGAGGACAGTCCAGAGAGGCGATGTTGGGGCCAGGCCAAGTGCATACTGTCCTGTACCAGCTGTCATCCGGTGCTCTGCATGCAGGACTGGAACTGGGGCTAAAGGGCTGTGGGGGCCTGCAGCTTCCTGGGACAGCCTGGTGAAACTTTGATGGGCAAAGGTTGGGAGCTCTCTGATTTCACCTTTAGGATAGTTCCATTGTTAGAATAGAAGCCCAAGACTTGCCACCCATGAGCTCCCGAGGGTGGAAACTACTGACCGTTCATAACACTTTCCTCTGATAAGAGGCTTTGTGGCTCCACATTTCCTTTAGAAGGAAGTCTAAATGTCTCAACAGATCCCTTTATAGTCTGGCCCCAATCGCCTTGACAGCCTCAGGTTCTGCCACTCTTTATTCTCTTCGATTTGCCACTGAGCATACCCTCATGTTCTCTCTCATGCATTTATGCATGTGTGTGTTCTTAAGCCACACTTATGCATGTACACTTCTTATGCCACACAGCTCCCTAAATGTCCTCTTTGATTTTTCTAACATTTTCATATTTTTCCTCTGCCTCTGATAAGAATCTCCCGTTCCATTTGTGAATATCAAAACCCAGTTCAAATATCATCTTTCTTCTGTAAAACTTGTCCTCATTACCCAATGCCAAGTTATATATAATCTCTCTTCCATGCCCCTGTTGCCCTGTTTATATATCTCTTTTATACTATGCTTATTTTTAACTTGATATATATACCTTTTACACCCACACCCCCATTCACCATTGAATAGTGAGCTCTAAAGTGCACAAACCTACTATTATCTTGGCATCTGTCCCTGTACCTAACATAGTTCTTAACACGTTGCAAGTGTTCAAAAATGTGTCTTCCCCTCAGCTTCAAACCTGGACATCCAATGTCTCAATAAAACCTCACTTATTTTCCTTAAATCCCTCCATTTTCCATCTCAAAGAAGAGTTTGTGTTATAGAAAGGGAAACTGGTTTCACTAAAAGGACGTCTAGCACAAGTGCAGCCTGGCCTCTCAAGCTGGTGGTTGCCATGGAAGACTTCCGAGTGTGAGGCGAGCTTAACAAGGGGCAGAGTGTTCTTGTCCTGACCTGTGTTGTGCAAATGTTAAAATAGAGTGGTGATAATGGAGGGGTGGCATCTCCAAGGGTTCCCTGGAGCTGCCATATTTACCCAGGTGCTCTGGCTCCTATGCTCCCGTTGGTGAGAACCGGCTGTGCAGCTCCATAGGTATCATGCTAACTTGGTTGCCTGGGCCCTCCTTGCAATCCCGTCAATAAGAATCAGCATCCAAGAATTCCATCCATTGACTTCAGTCTCCTTCCAGAAAGAGGATTCAGAGCCACCAAGAACATTTGAAATTAACCTGCTCCCTAAGTTACAAGCTCACCTTGAGGGTTGCCAACACAAGGAAGGTCATATTACACCCTTCCATTTATGAGCCTGGAAAATGGTGCTGTAGAGTTGATTTCATATTCCAAAGGGAGCCTCTGCCCTATGCCAAGAGAAGGGGCTCCCAGGAAATGCCTGACACAAGTCATCCTTGTTAGGGCCTCAGAAGAATGACCCTCATGGTGGATCTCAGCATTTGGATTTGCATTAAAATGATGGATTTGTTTTGCCCTGCTGGTACAGCTCACCCCAGCTCCCCAAACGCTCTAGTCTTGGAAAGACATGCATAGTAGCCTGGTGCTCACCAGGAGGGATTTTCTGGGCAAAAATAATTCATCAGGTCTGGAGCCTGCTGCTGTCTTCCCAACAGATGTCCTCTTTTGTTTGTGTTGCATTTTGTCTTCATGCTACCAATGTTTGATAAAAAGTGTTCTTTAGAAAAGAAAAAAGAAAGTGGTAAAAGGGAATTTTGAGATAAAAATGGATTATATACAACCTTTCAGTGCCTAATAATAAAAAGATACAATTGCGTATAACTTAAAATCATCTATTACACACACACAATTCAACATAATGGAGCTGAAACTGAGCTTGAGTTCCCCACCACATACACACACACACACACACACACACACACACACACACACACACACGGCACAGGGCTTTAAGCATAACAATGAGTGAGGGAAGGTTGATTCTCAGACACATGACAGGTGAGGGGTAGCTAGTTGATTTTAGGCTCTACGGTCAGACAGAAGTCAAGATGAAGGCCTTTTGGGTAGAAGATGGGACTC